TCGCCTCGTGTGCCACTTTTTTGTTCTTACCACATTTTGACGTCATCTGTGATCTATTACTGAACAGACGCACGGCAACATGGAATCTATTTGTTAATCAGATGACGAAATGTTACGAGGGTGGTATAGAGAGGAAAAAATGCTAGCCTATTGCAAGCTACCCCTACCCTGCCAGAGCCCACGCCCACCCGACCCCTCAGATTACCTTCAGGACTACCTTCAGATTTTTGTCAATTTAAAATGCCAAGTACACATCCTGAGCCCGATTCATAAGTGGCTGGAGTCGTTGTTGTTATTTTTGGGGGAGGAGTGGGGTGGGGCAGAAAACACCAAACACCCCTACCACCCTGTGTTAGATCGCTGGGCTCATGTTTTTCGAGCTCATCGACGTCGGGTGTTTTTTTTTAAGTTGACTGCTGACCAAGTGCTGGCTTTCGATTGGAACGCGAGCTCATGTCAGGTTCCCCTATTGTAAACTGGACCGGGTTGTTCGGTAGCCGGTTAATGCTAATCCAGGATTAAAAGTTAACCGAAGTATAAATTTTTCTTGTATAGAAATGATTTTCACTGCTTCTGTTTTATGTGTTTTGAGATTATTCAAACTCAAAACAGAAAACCAAACAATATACAAACTCAAATCAAAATTCTCTCTTATCCTGGGTTAGTCAGGACTAACTTAATAGGGCTTTGAACAACTCGGCCAGGAGTTTCGTTTTCAGGCTTGGCTAAATCTATATATTATATAATTCAGCCTAGACCACTCGGTCTGAATTTCAACTCACCTACCATAATTCCATTGCCTTAAGATTTGTTTTTGTTTCTTGCAGATAGCTCAATCTACCCTTGTCATCGTTGTGGTAAAGTTTTCGCCTACAAGTACTACCGTGAGCGCCATCTTAAATACACGCGCTGTGTTGATTACGGAGACCGGAAGTTCCCCTGCTCCCTGTGTAGCCGCTCCTTTGATAAGCGTGACCGCTTACGCATTCACATTCTGCACGTGCATGATAAATATCGCCCACACCAGTGCACAGAATGCGGGAAAAGTTTCTCCCAGTCGTCCAGCCTCAACAAGCACATGCGGATTCACAGCGGAGAGAGGCCCTATAGATGCCCACATTGCGTCAAATGCTTCACGGCTTCTTCCATTCTGCGCACGCATATCCGTCAGCACAGCGGCGAGAAGCCATTCAAATGCAGACATTGCGGGCGCGCGTTCGCCTCACACGCGGCGCATGACAGTCACGTGCGGCGCAATCATTACAAGAATGTCATCCGTGGAGTAGAAGACAAAGCCCTGGTTAGGATTTCGCGTCTTTCATGACTTGACTCTCAATCCTTCCGTTCAGTTCTGATGCATGTGTATAACAACATCTTTTTCTCCAGATTACACTTACCTCGTGTCTTGTCGCTCGAAACTTGTTGTATTACCAGCGATAAATCACTTTTGATGCCAGTTGATAAATATTGTTTGCCACTTGCTGTTTAAGTTCTGGCTCCGGCTATGAATAAAGGTTTGGATTAATTAGACAGTTAGACGAGTGCACGGTGCTTTCTTGTTCCGACTTCTCTTCCCTTTAATTTCCCACTCCCTATATCACCCGATTCCCTTGCTCCAAATATCCATTCCTCGAGCTATAAGCCTCCTCGAACCCCCGGCTATAAACTGCCCGCGAAGTTAATCTTTTTGAGCGTTTAGCTCGCGTAAGTCACCTAGCCTATAAACTACACATGTATAAAATGGATGTTGTTGTTTCTTTGTCTTTGTTTGGGTTTTGTCGGAATTGGTTCCAAAAGAAAACAGAAAAAACATCTGGTCGTGTTTTTAACAATTTAGATTCTGAAGCTAAAAAAAAGGCAGCTGTAAGAGTGTGCATAAATTATGTTTTAAATTTTTGTTTGTCTGTTACCGGAACCAACAAAGTTAAATGTTAGTAATACCAAAGTGACCGTATATTTTGTGTTGTGGGAAAAATAATCGGTGGCATTTGTATGACTGATCAAACATTTTCCTTATCGCAGATAAAAATAAAATCATGAACATCAACTTAGATCATGGCTAGACTAGACGAAGTCTCATTTACAGAAAGTGTAAAATTCCTGGTGTTCTTAGTGGCTAATTTTTCGATCATTAAAAGGTTTAAGCAAGAAGAGAAACTGCTTCGCAGTCAGCTTAAGAAAGGCCTTGAAAATCATCACTTCGGTCTTGTAAATTTGTAAGTTTACTTTATTCATTTATTTCTACATTCATCCGTGAGAAATATGGATATGGCCTGTCTTTCAGACGTTCTAACATGCAGATTAATTGTGCACGAGCTGCATAGACCAATGACGCCAGCTCGACTATATAAAAACATATTTCCTTCTCATTTAAAACTGCCTAAGTTGAAATAAAATAAAGAGTTCAATAGCATTATAATCCAGCTCGGCAAAAAGACGTATTAGTTGAATTTCCTTTTATGTTATTTACTCCAGCTGGGGAACATATTACCATAAGAAAGACCTCAGCCAATCTCGAAGCTCCGTTTTCTTGGCCATCATTAAAACGTTCAGTTTAATTATTTTCTACTCGAACGTGTTATGCCTTGATTAAATTCAGCTGCGTTGTGAATTTTAAGTGTAATCAAAAACAGCAAGCTCAAATTGGAAACAATATTGTACTCAAAAACGCCAAACAGAGAGAAATATTGTGCTAAAATATCTGCGACACATGTTCGGAGTACACTCTTCACTATACACCACCATGCCGTATTTAAATTCGAACTTAAACACATTGTTTTTCCTTTGTGCAATAATTGTTGTCGTCTTTTGCAATTCACTTGGAAATTATCACACCAGCGTGATCATTTTTCTGGAAGAATCAGTCTCTGATGTGCAGGACATTGTCCTGAACGCCGTTGAACGATACAGCAAAGATCATAAACATGGTTCGTCGGAAAACCAAGCTCATATGAATTTCAGCTTTGTCAGTTACAACAGAATTGTCAATAGCATCTTAACACTGGATCAAGATCATTCAACTTCGCTACGCTTTGCAATTTTTCCTCATGTGTCTAGTCACGAAATTGTTCTCTCTTCCATAATGAAAAGGTTAAATATTGTTCCAATTGGGCTCTTTCATACGGACGGAATTCCAACCACACAGGTAAGGATTATCTCACTGTATTTTTCTTTAATCCAATTCTGGCCTCCTACCCTGTAAAGAATTAAATCCATATTTTCTAGAAATTAATGCTAGCAGTGGGTTCTCGTCTACCCAGCGACGGTAGCTTAGCACTTAAAACTGAATTGTAGATATATGATTTTATCGCTTGGAATAAACAATTTCAAGCCAAGGAGAAAATCGTTAATTTATTATGTTGCGGTTCGGAACTGAATTACACTGTACGTGCATGTCGAATTGCATTTGAATAGGAAAAGTTCACCTCCGTGAAAACTACCAGCTATGAAAGGAGAATTTACTTTATAATATGTTTGTGGTTTGTAAACTGCAGTATTTTCCAGTAGCCTAAAATACGAGGAACGAAAAGATAATAAAAACATTAAAGACGAAAAATAATGAGGAATCTCTGTAATTATATGAAAACCGTTTCAAAACTTGAATGTCTCGGGTTGACAAATAAGGCAAGACTATGACTGACATAAATTCAGTTTATGATAATTACAAGATGTCTGTTTATAAATTCAATGTTTTGTCAGAATGTTGTTTATCACTAGCTCAATACTGAGTCTCGAGATCGAGAAGAGGTTTCTTTGCACTTAACTTACGACAGAAAATTAAAACAATCCCCGACACAATTTCGAAGCACTTTTAATTATTTTTAGTTTTTCATCCGGTTGGTTTTTCAAGGAAAAAACAATTAAGATGCCTTGCTAATTATTCTTACTTTGAAATCGGAAGCTTCATTGAGTAAAAGGAAGAATAAAAGGAAAATAAATATTGGCTACACGGACGCATATATCTTTTTACGCGGGAGAATAAAAAAAAAATGCATGAGCGAAAGTCAAAAAAAATAACCCTTCTGGTTATTTCTTTCGATGACATTTTTTTTTTTTTTTTGGAAAAGTTGGCAACAAATTGATATCACAATATCATGAGTTGATGGTTTTGTCTTTTTTATATATATATATACCTGCTACCATGTTAGCGAGGTATTAATTAATGAGGAGAAATGTCATGTTCATCAACTGAAATTAAACTTGGCATGGGAACAAGACTAAAACTCTGATATAAGAAGATGTTTTATAAACAAAGTACTTTTTTGTGGCACAAACGGACGTCTTAAGGAGTGCATTACTTGTCGCTGTCTTTCCAAATTTATTTGCTTTTTGGAAATCGGCTGAAGGCGATGAGTCAGCGAGACGGCAATATGTTAAAAAGCTAAAACATACATTAGCAATATCGCAATTCCCTTTTGCTTAGTGAATCCTAGTGGCAGGAAGTTTTCAGTTTGCGTGCAATATCAAGATTGCCTAGCCTTTGGTACAAAGTTGAGCAAATGATGTAAGCCTTGCTAATGTCGAGTGCTGTTAAGGTATTACTCGAAAGTGATATAGCTTTGCCACATGATCACAGCCAAACTTTCATGCATAGACTTGACGTTAGAACCACCTTGAACAGCATAATAAACTGTGCCACATGAAGAAACTGCTCAATAGCTTTCATTCGAATGGCCACCCACTAGGGTTTCATCCACAGACGTTAATATTAGAACCACCTTGTACAGCATAATAAACAGTACCTCATGAAAGTACTGCTCAATAGGTTTCATTTGATTTGTCACGCACTAAGGTTTCATCAGTACGTCCACAGACGTTAGTATTAGAACCACCTTGTACAGCATGATAAACAGCACCACATGAAAGTACTGCTTAACAGCTTTCACTTGAATGGTCACACACTATGGTTTCATATACAGACGTTAATATTAGAACTACCTTGCACCGCATAATAAACAGTAAAGATAAAAGACGAGCAAAACCCTTTTTGTTATATTTATGAAAACTAAACAGCCTTATTTCATCATTTCAACGCAGTATTTTTGTCGTCAACAACAGGAAAATCCTGCTGATTTCACAAGGGTCGCTTCTCCTTCTATGATACACTACGCTTGCGCTCTTCGAGACATGGTGCAGAAAATGGGATGGCGCAGACTCAGTCTTGTAGTATCCGTTGACTACGAAGGAAAAGTACTTGCAGACGCAATCTTGGCATATTCAAAGACAGAGAAGTGGGACATTCAGCGGACTGTTTGGCTATCGAGAAGGGAAAACACCACGGAACTGAAAACCGCTATCAAGCTAATTATGTCCAGTGACAATGATAGCGACGCTGTCATTGTCCACATCCGGGACTCTCACAATGATGACTTTTTCCGATTGGTTCAATTTCTCGGTGTCAATCAAAGTACAGCTTCGTGGTTGCTGACAGATATCACTACATACGGGGTATCGGACAGCACTGTGCTGCCTTCTGGCTTTGTCACAATATCTCCCTGGAGAAGTCCAGAACATGATTTTATGGAGCATGCTCTGTATGACACATTTGATCTGATTGGGTTATCAGTAAACGGTGCGTTAAACCTCTCTTCAAGTCCAGCCGTTGTTGACCCTCAGGAGTTAATAAAACAGTAAGTGGTTCTATCTTTCTTTCTTCGCGTGACGTCATGGCTACAATGCCGGTTTTTCCAAACAACGAACTTTTTCCCATGTGAGAAATATGAGTTCTTTTCTTGTGCAAGTAGGCATTTGTTTGGGAACACCAATAATTGACCGCCATCACAACATTCTCCATGCTCTTCAAATTCATTACAAATTCATCAAGTTTAAACAAAGGAAAACATGACCGTATAAGGTGTTTGGATATCTGCTCTTAATTGGCATAGATTTTCACGATTTTAATTCTCCGTTTTATCCTTGGTGTTAGTTTCGATTGAGAAGATATATCAAACACTCAAGACAGTGTTTGACCACATTTCCAAACACCTGGAACTACGTTTAAAATGCTCCGCTACGCGTCGTGTTTTCAGCTCTCTTCTCGGTGTTTGGAAATGTGGTTAAACACGGTCTTTCGTGTTTGATATATAACGTCAATTTTTCTCTCTGTATTGATCTCTAAGTTGTTGCAAATTTTAATTATAGTAAGAGAGAGAGAAAGTATGGGTCGGTTTTCTAATCAAGCAATCAGCCAGCCAATGCTCTTTCTTGTACCAGAAATCACAGAAATTAAATATAAGCTTTAACCTTGAAGACAAGAACGAAGACTATATTCGAAAGAACGGCCGAATTAAATTGACTCTATACTTTTCTAATTAAACTCAAGGGACTAAAGGTGCAAATGTTGTTATTTCGTTTAGGAAAGTGAAAGGCACTTTCCTCCAAGGAAAAACGTCTCTATTCGAGGATCCCGCTTTATCCAAAGGGCCATTTTCTACAATGGACATTTCAAATCTGAAACAGGACCTCGATGGCCAGAAGCACTGGTGGTCCATTGGTCTAAAGACATATTCAGGGATTGCTTTAGAGGCCTTTAACATTCCAAACGGAAAGGTTGTACATCCACTTGCGGCCCCTTCTAAACCAACTGTGCGAGTCCCTGTGATTTTGTACCCTCCATGGATAGAATCCGAGGAGCCACAACACACTTTAGAAAATAACACGACGTGCTTAAAAAGGGGTTACTTCTGTTACAACAGAACTGGAATAACAGTCTCCAAGCTTTGTTGTTTTGGATTTTCCATCGATTTGTTGAAGATTCTTGAACGCGAGCTAGGTTTCATTCCTGAAATTTACTTCGTTGCTGATGGACAGTATGGCACTTTTGGCGAGAAGACGGGAAAATGGAACGGAATCATAAATGAGCTGGTGGTCGGAAGAGGTAAGAAAAATGTAAACCCTTTTATAGATCCTTTCGCGATTTTGTTCCACTTAGATAATGGCTACTGAAATTGTGAAAATCTATCGACAATAGACCATATTCGAGTTACCTTGCGCCTCTGTTTCAAAACGAGTCGGACTCCTGGTGCAAAACCTTTCATATAAAATGCTTGATTTGAATTGGATGAAAATGAACCTGTAAGCGGAACACATTTTCATATGAATGGTTTCCGGCGCTCGAGGAATCGTTTTGACATAGAGACAAAAAGCATCTCGGATCGATCTGGCCTATTCAGGAACACTGAAAGCTTGGTGAAAAAGCCAGTCACAGTCATGTCTTACAAAATAGCAAAAACCTGATTCTACAAAATCGAGCCGAAATTGTACAGACATTTAACTTGTGACACAAACTAGACACCAAGTTTGCAATGTTCTCAGTGTTAGGTATAGCAGAGTTGACCAACTTTCGCTACAAATTAAAATGCAAAAAGGAAGATGAAGAATGTTACACAGATCTAAAAGAATTCTTTTTGACTTTGGGCAATAAGAGGGCTAAATGATTCTGATTTCATAGTTTGTCAGCAATGTGCGTTTGAAATTACATCACTTATGGTCCTTCAGCTATTATTGGTTTATGTTACTTGCTACGTGCTGAAAACTGAATTTTACCAAATGAGTGTTAGATCGTTCTATATCTCTGTGAGCTGGTTTTTCTTCTAGGGTTGGTTCATGTTCACAGGGAACACGGAGAAAGGAAAAAAAGAAGATCAGTATTTCAAATGTGAAACTAAACAAATTGTGTTCTGGTTATTTCTACTATATTAGGTGATCTGGCTTTAGGCCTGGCAATGACACAAAAACGAGCCAAACACATTGCGTTTTCATTCCCGCATCTTCCCCTCGCTCTCAATGTTCTAGTGGAGAAGGAAGGAGGTTCTAAAACAGGTACGAAGCAGTTTTGCTTCAGAAATAGATCATATTTAACTTTTATCTATCTATAGGCTTGATTTCCATCGCTCCTTTCCGAAAAGTGGCTGATAATCGAGACCAGTTTCCAAGTAAAATAGAAACGCGAGTGGACGGGAACTGTTCGGGAGAACAAAAACTGTGGGAACACGAGCCTGGTGGAGAGGGTTTCCACGGCTTTTCTGACTTGAAGTGTTCTCTATCTCCTTTCTTCAGAGTGAAAGATTTAATAGAAATATCAATATCATGTTTTTCGGTTTTTACTGTAAGAAGTCGCTCCGTATCTCACGTACTGCGCAGACCTTGAGAAATTTGAAAACGCATCAAATGTTTTCTGTCCACACTACGCCGGTCACTGGTCATTTTGGATTTGTGTTTGGGGAAAACTCGCCCAGGGAAATCACATGATTATCGTGACGTCATCGTTTTCGAAAAGCTCTGTTAAGTTTTCAAAATGTCTTCCGTCCACACGAAAACGAAAAGCCGGCGTTTTCAAATTCCTCCGCTTTAAAGAACATTTTCGAAAAGTTCCGTATTTTAATTCGTGACGGATTAGTGTGGAAGGTAGGCGTAACTGTAGAAACCAAGCTGCGTTTTCAAATTCCTCCTGCCTTACGCGACATTTTAGTGGGTAGAGTTGCGGTATATTCTTTTGCGTTGTGTCCAATTTGAGACACGTTTAACGTCACGAGAAAGACTACATCAAGCCTGTACATGTTTAGCCTGTTTCATGTGGTAACTTTAAAACGCAGGGATATGTTTACCCCTTGCACTCTACTACTTACTCCACTAAGCTGATTTATATAGGTAAGCGTATGAATGCGATTGCCATCAAGGATTTACACTGCCAATGATATTTGAAAATTCTCTCAAAATTGCACGAGCTTTTAGCCGAGAGCGATTTGAAAGAATTTTCAAATCATGAGTAGCGTAAATACTTAATTGCTCGAGCTTTCATACGATTACTCATTTATTATGACTCGGAAAAATGCGAACGCGCGCTCGTTAATTTGCACAGCTGTGTAAATTAGGAATTAGCGATAAAATGGCCTGCTGTTAGCCAATCATGGTGACGTTATTTTCTCAGTCATAAAAGGATGGTAAATATGTGTTTTTGTTGTTCACACAGGCGTGCAATGGTACTCATGGTTGAAGCCGTTTGATGTCAACTTGTGGCTAATGATTCTCGGAACATGCAATGTTATTTTGCTGGTAATTTGGTGGTTGGATAGGAAAAGTCCCACCGGATATTATCGAATACTCAAGGAAAGCAATGAAAATGGGTTTACAATGCTAGGTGAGTAGAGTGCCACGGTTGCTTAAATCATTGTTTATTTTTTCTTCATTAACGCGCGACTTTGGGCAGAGAAGGCATCATGCTATACATAAGTCGACGTGAAGCATTTTTTTTAAAAAGAGCTTGTGAAACTAACTAGTTTGTGAAAATGATTGACTCTTTGGATGTAATAAGGAGAAGTTGGCTCTCAAAAACTGCAGAATCTCTGGGTGGACTGCGTGGCAAAAGGACGAATGATCTCATACATTCTTTGTAAAATTTTGAGTTTTTAAACCCGCTTCGTGTAAAAGGTATTCAATGCATTCAAATCCCGTGGGACAGTTCAACTTGCTGTGCACTTTTAATATCATAATTCCGTAGCTTGCTCAGGAAATGAGTCGCTAGTGCTAATGACTCCCCTATTGACAATGAACATGTACTTTTGCGGATAACTGTAGAGTGCGAGTAGTCACTCTTTTCCTCGAAAATCCCTGGGGAAGAACGCAAAACAAGTAAGCATGTGAGCGTGACATGTGAGCGTGACATGCTAGCGGCGATGCCGCAATCGAGAAAAAGAGAGACTGTTCGCAGTCTAGGAGAACTGGGGCGTGAGGCCCCGCCCACACTACGCGGGAGGAATTTGAAAACGCAGGTTTTACTCTGAAAACGCATCAAATATTTTCCGTCCATACTACGCCGGAGAAATTTGAAAACACAACAATCAACGGTCATTTTGGATTTGTTTTTGAGGAAAACTTGGTGAAGGAAATCACATAATTATTGTCGAAATGCTCCGTTTTCAAAATGCTATCTGTCCTCGCGAATTCCCTCGGTTTGAAGAGCGTTTTCGAAAAGCCCATTTTTCGTGATGGATATGTGTGGATGATAGGCCGAACCGTAGGCAGAAAGCTGCGTATTCAAATTTCTCCGGCGTGGTGTGGGCGCTGCTTAACATGAGGTTTAGGGGACCAAAACAAGTAAAGGCTGTTGTTCCCGTTTGTTACAGACGCTATGAGTTACGTATGGGGCGTGGCCTTCAGCAAGGACATTGGAGCAGAGAAAGCCCCTCGCAGTAATAGCGCCAGATTTGTATCTACCGTGTATGCCTTCATGGCTATGATCATTGTTAACACATATTGCGCTAATTTGATGGCCTTTTTAGTGCAGGACAATTTTGTGCTTCCAATTGACGGCATTAGAGATCCAAAGGTTTGTAGGGGTTATAATTTTTGTAACAGAATTTCTGAAACTTTCACCCATCATTTTTCAACTAAAAAATCATTTGTCTTTCCTTTTATACAGAAAATTATTCCGCAGTGTGAGAAATCTCCAAAAACCAAGCTGTTCTCTCACACCAGTGAACGGAACTCGGCTAAAACTTCCATTCCGACACTTGTCTACCATACTGAAATTAATATCTTGCCCACACCTTAGCACCTTAGTGCCTTAGTGAATTACCTTGCATGCGGTGGCTGCGCCCGCAGTATGAGTGGCAATTAGAACCTAGCTGTCCTTCCGAAACGACACAAAGTAGTCTGTTTTTCTTCGCAGATAGCAAAAATAGAGACAATGCTAAAGTTTCTTAAGTCTCTACTTAATTCGAGAATTTTGGGTTTAATTAGACGAGGAACAACATATTTTGTTCAAAAGAGCACAATTCTACCAGGCGACACCCGACGAGCGAGTAGGCCAAATTAAAAGCTTGCAGACACAAAATCTTTCATATTTCTCACTTTTTACATTCTGATATGATTATAACCCCTTTTCGTGAATATTTAATGATGTCTCCAGTGAGAAAAGTTTCCCGACACCAATGCCTTTCCAGTTAATATGCATTTGACGTCAGGAAAGTACAGTTTTCCCCGCCTGCTGAATCCTGATAGGTCCATTAAATTTCAGGCACACCAGCCGTATGTAAGGTATTGCATTAGGGCTTTAGCGGACGGCAGCCCCCTAAACCATCCCGGGGATGGCGCCGTTACTTTCCCCCACTTCCCGATTATTCCCCCATTACTCCCTTCCTCCCTGCCCGCTTACGATTTGACGGAGTCCTCTAAAGAGACCTTCCATATATTAAGAGGTAATATGCAGTTAATTCTTTGTCCAAATAATTCATTTGATCATCATTGTTTTTCAGTTGAGGGACGTTTCTTTATATCCGCCAGACGGTTTTCAGCTCGGTGTGTTACAAGGCAGCATCTCCGAAAAGTACTTCAGGAATCACGTGAATTATGATTATCGTCAAATTTACGAAAGCAATCTCAAATTAAATCTGATGGATAATTTCCGCGAAGGAACGCTCCGACTTCAAAACGGGTAAGTGCACAGGGGGTGGGGGAATGTTTGGGTAAATATATTGGTAATCTTAAATGAATCTTCGGCTTCGATTTACAAAAAGATGCCTTGCTCTAAGATAAGGCCCAAATAGCAGTGCACAACTCTTTTTTTGAAAAAGGAAACCTCTTATATTAGCATAACTAAATCATGTAAACTGCGCAAAATTGAGCCATAGATATGGAATCGCAGTAGTTATAAAAGAACCTGAGTAATTAACAAGAACAGAATAGAAAATTTTTTAAAACGACAACAGAATTATTTCAACCAGTGACAGCTTGAATGAGATGTCCACCAGCATAATTTTGAAAGATAATGAACACATAATTAATTAACATGATAATAACCTCCATTTGGGTAGAAACACTAGCTACTCATTAAAGTTCATAGTTTTCCTCAAGTCTCTTTGCTTTCGGTAAGCTGCTCGCTTTTCCTGAGACGAGTTTTCTAGTTAACCGAGTTTGCTTAATACCACGCTGGAAGATATTCCGCGCTCATGTCCCTCGATAATTGATTCAGTTTATATTTTCGCTACAAAGGAGGTTATTTTTCATATATTTATATAAAGAGAATGTATGTGTTATTTTTTTTCTTTACAGTGAAATCCACGGTCTTGTCGGGGATTACCTATCTTTGCGACAAATCGCCAACAAGATGCCGGATTGCAACCTGACCTTGGCCGGTCCAAACTTCTACACCTACGGTTTAGCATTCGCCATGCCCAAGAATTCTCCTTGGCTTGACGATATCACGAGAGTGGTTTTGGAAATGAAAGAAAACGGAAGCATAAGCATGTTAGAAAAGATGTATTTCGACGAAAAACTTTGCAGAAATTCAATCCCTAAAGATCTTAGTATTTTTCATTTTAGTGGCCTCTTTTTGACGGTAGCCGCGACGATCGCGTTTTGTTTCTTAGCGCTCTTGGCAGAAGTCATCGCCATCTTCGTACTAGTTCGCTTTAGTCAGCATTTGGGCGCCCTTGGAAAGTTTTTCATGCGTCTACTGTTTGACCTTAAAAAGGGTGAAGAGCATTTGATAACGTTGAAGTACTCGACAATGAGAAACAAGCGTAAACGTGTCAAGATGGACCTTGTTAGAATTGAGAACGCTTCGTCGAGTGGAGCAACTGTTGAACAACAGCAAAATTCCATGAACACAACAACAAATGGTTACTTGGAAGAGGTACACCTTGACGTAGACCCAAAGACAACTTCAAGAAGGACAGCTGCATTTCTGAATAAATCTGTAGAATTCAAGTCAGATTCTCACATGCAAATGTCGTTTACGAACAGTGGTTATTGCAGCGAGAGCTTAAATTCTGACGTAACACCTCTTTAAGTATGTATAAAGACTGGATGCATTTCTCATCTTTTTTATTTCTTTATGATCAAAGTACATTACCACAAGGAAGCATGGGGGCCTAATAGTTAGTGCGCATGTGTGCGGTGGACTCCGCATCAAGCGGTCTGGGTTCGAATCCTGACCTAAAGTTGTTTTCTGGACAAAACGGTTTACTCTCATGCCACATTGCCTCTCTTCATCGAGGTATTTAAATGGATTTAAAAGACTTTAATTCAGCGGGAAAAATTGGCAACAGACTTACATCCCAATCAGAGGGAGTAGAAATACTCCTAGTGGCCTAATGATTGGGAAACCGAGGATAGGCGCCGACCTGGTGCTTTAATCACAGGGGACCCGACCACTACATCAGCAGTAAAAATAGATGTACTGTTATTTACTTGTGTTCCTGTGTCTTTTTTAGTCGTTTAGAAGGGATTTGAATGAAGCGAAGTCCGTTTACATTTCGAATATTATGTATCAGTCAATTCCAGCAGTGCCCATCCCCCTCCCCCGGGCAACCGCGGGGCATTTGCTCACGTTGTCAGTCCCGGGGGTGGGGCATCCGCAATTTTATCGCGGCCCGGGGGCTGGGCATTTGCGTACCCCGGGGCGACCACCGGGCATTCGACACACGAGTTTAGGAAAGTGCCATGGATGAGTTCATCAGGAAAGACGAGGCGTTTGTCGAACAATGGCTTGTCCGTCAAGGACTAGAGAAACTTGCAGACATTTTTAAAGGTATGTTTTCTCAGTTTTAGATATTTCTCCATTACTTGTAAGCATATAAATATAAGCGACAAGGTGAACTATATTTTGTTTATCACAAAACAATCACTGACGTGAACACGACTATTTCGC